TATATATATATATATATATATATATATATATATATATATATATATATAGGCCTAGGTTATTCTATTCAAACTAATTATTGTGTTATTGTATGCATAAATATGGGCCAATCATTTTATTTATTTTAAGAAAGTGATTAATACATATTATTGAATTAAAAATAATCGAAAAATACAATCTAATTTAACTAGAAGGGTATTTTAGTCAATTAACATAGATTTAATAAAGGAAGTTTACATATTTTAAGGGATCATAGATTCTATTAATTTTAAAAATCTGATTTTACGAAAATTCGGACATTCTGACAGAATATGTTTAAATATATTCAAAAATAAAAAAATTCTTGAACCATAAAATAATAAAAATATTCGTGAACATATTTTTCTTGAAGAATAACAAATTCTCGAACCAGCAATTGAAGAATTAAAACAAAAATTATATTAATTCTTATAGAATACATGTAACAATTGCTAAGAATTACATTTATTGTTAAAGAATAAAACTAAAAAACTTTCAAATCGGTAAAAAAAACATCAAAATCTAACAAATACACTAATTTATTCTAAAAGAATAATGTTTGTAAGAGGCGTCGTTCAAATTTCGTGGTCCGTTCTTCAAGCATCAACTTCTGTGGAAACAAATCCAATGAATAAATTAGTGAGAAAATATCCTTATTCCATTCCAGCATAATTGGAATTCGTGATTCCATTCTGATAGAATTGGAATTGATTTACCAATAATTATATTAATTCGGGGCATTCTAACAGAATATGTTCATGATTATCATAATAAAACATTTTTTTCTGATAGAATACTATATATGCAACAAATCCAGTTTACAAAAAAAAAGTAAACAAACTTGCAATCTTGCCCTTCTGATTTCTTTGTGTTGAGAAAATGCAACATAAAGAGGCTTGCTAGCAACCATCTTTCCATTCATCTCATTCAACTATAAAATTCGATACAAAATTTTAACTTTTTACATATACTATTCGAATATAATAAAAATAGTAAATTCAAATATCTGCTTACTGTTCTAGAAGCTTTCTCAGAAGTGGAAAATGCAATAAAGCCTGATCCTTAAGTAGTT